AGAAACCTACCAATTATCAAAAGTGACTCAAATAGAAACAGAAAACCTGAATAGCTCTATATCTATTCAGAAATTTCATAATTTAAATTTTTCCTAACAACTGAAATAACCTCCCCCCCCAAAAAAAATCATGCTAAAATGGCTTAACCTCAAATTGTTAAACATTTAAAGGAGAAACAGTACCAACATATAGAAATTATTTCAGAATGCAAAGGAAGAAACACTTTCTCGGTGATTTTATGAGGCCAGTATTACATGGACGCCAAAACTGCCAGGATTGCCTTGATACCGTTAACCAGACAAAGCAATTACACAAAAACTACAGACCAACATCCTTCATGAACTCAGATACAAAAATATTTAGCAACATACTAGCAAACTGAATTCACTAATAACATATAGGAAGCCTAATGCATCATGCCTGAGTGGATTCAATTCCACTAGACTCAAGGAATGCAAGGTTGGTTTAACACTCGGAAGCCAACGAAGGGAACTTGTCATAGTAACAGGAAAAAAAAACACAGTACTCATCATTTCCAAAGATGTATAAAAAACAGCATACATCATTTCAACAGATGTGTAAAAAGTATGACAAAACTCAGCAGGATTTCACTAAATTCAAGACTCTGAGTGGTGCATCCAACCCAAGGGGCTCCCCTACTGACTACAGAACGAACTCCCTTCCTTGACAGTGGAGACCCTGTAAGACGGGGATTACCTTTCCCCATCACGGCCCCTCACACACCAGGCTCACTACTAACCTTCAGCTGCCCCTGCTCTTGCTGTTCCCTCCACCAGGATGGCTCCCCCACATCTGCCTATGGAGTTTCCCTCTGGCCGCCTTGGAGATGTTTTGTCTTTGGCTTTCAGCAGTTTGAAAAAAATAATAATAATAATAACAATTATATATATATATATATATTTTTTTTTTTTTCTTTTAAAGTTTTTTATCCTGCTTTGCAGTCTTTGGCCTGTGTTTTGGTAACTTCCATTATTTTTGGGAAAGTCTTAACCGTGATAGCCCTGTTCTTTCTCCCTCTTCTGTTGGGGTTCCAAGTGCTATTGTAAGGTGTCCCCCCAAAATGTACACACACACTTTGAAGAATTATAAAGGCAGTGTTTGCTAAAATGCATTTCCTTTGCATCATGGAGCTGCCGCTGTTGGTGTGTGTCCAGTTTGGGGTCCCTGTGTGTGGGGCTTGCCCCGCTCCTCTGGGCCCGTTGCTTTCGCTCCTTCTCCGTTTCAGCGCGGGGCCTTCCGGGGGTCTGTGATCCAGTCCATTCATTTTTTATTCCTTGGCCCGTGGGGACCCGGCTCCACCACCCTTGGACGTGCCCTCTGAAGGCATCCTTCGTCCCTGCTGCTGTTTATTCCTAACCTCTTCATTTGACTTTTCCTCGTGTTTCCTAAAATGCCCCTCTCCGTGTCCGGAGGGCCCCGCACGTCCAGGACCGGCCTCGGGGGCTCTGAGCCCCGGGCTCCGACGTCACCCCGTGGCCTTTCCCTAGATCTCCGGGAGTCCCGTCCCTGGCGCCGCGGGGCAGCGACTCCGACCACTGGCACTCGGAACCCCGGGGACCTCCGCCAAGGGGCCGAGGTCGGCGGGCGAGCAACAGGCGCTGGGCAGGACGCAGCCAACGCCTCGCACGCCCCCGCCACGCCGCCCAGCGGCTCCACTCACCTCCGCCGCCACCTGCGGCCCCCGCCCACAGCGCCTGCGCGGCCCCGCCCGGCCCCGCCCCCTATTGCCCACGGCGCCTGCGCGGCTCCGCCCCGCCCCATGACTGTCCACAGCGCCTGCGCAGTCTGGCCCCGCCCCTGTTCCATGACCGCCCACAGCGCGTGCGCGGTTCCTCTCCCCGTCCCAGGAGCCCGGGCGCATGCGCAGCGCGGGAGGGCGCTTTGGTTGAACTTCCGCCGCCGCTGTGTCCTTTCGGTCCCTGGCTTTTGGGGGCGGCCTGGCCTTCCTCCGGCCCGGGGACGCCTACTTGGCCTGCGGTCTGGCTGCTCTACTGTTCTCGGCTTCTTCCCGAGCTTTCCACCGGGTTCCGCAGAGTCGAGGCCGCCGGGGCATGGCTGGCAAATAACCTGACTGCGCGGAGGTCCAACGCCGCTGACCACGTGCCGAAGGCTGAGCGACCTGGTCTGAGCGCGCAAGCTTCCTGCACCCTGTCGGCAGGCAGGGCCGAGTGCGCCCCGTAAGGCAACTGAGTGATGGGTTCTGCGCGAGCCCTGGTGTTACCTGGACCTTTGTGAAGCCGTGTGCGCTTGCGCCATGTCACCACGCTACTCCGGAACCCGAGTGGCCTGCGAAGCCCTGGGTGACCTGGGCCCCTCCATCCTCCAGCTCCCAGGCTCTCCTCACCCTGCTGCGGGACCTCCCACCTCACTCCTGGCCTCCAGTCCCGCGAGGCGCCAAGTGACACAGCCTCTCCTGAGTCATAGTTTGTCGCTAGTTCTTAATTATTGCACTTGGAAGAAACTTCACTCTGCTGAGTAGCAACTTGAATGGTCCATAAAACCCTTGAAGCTTTAGGTTTAGAGTTGAACCATGAATATCGGTCACGCTCACCCACACTCACTGTGCCTGGGACAGGTGAGACAGGCCAGGGCGCCTACCAGGCACATTTTCGGCCCTGGGAGGAAATGAGAAAACCCACCCAGCCTGGGGGCACACACACTTCGCACAGGGGCCCCCCCGCCAGAATTGGAATTGATTTCTTTTTCTTCTCATCAATGTTATAACAACATGACGTTGGGCAGAACAATGTTATTTGAGGACCTACTGTGTCTGTTGCCAGTGGATAAAGGGCCTTCAGTGTTGTGTAGTTTCTAAATGTCTAACAGTATGACACACAGAAGCAGGCCTTAAAGCAAGTCTTCGTCATTAACGCAGATGAAGGGCACGGCTCGGCTCCCTGAGCCACAGGGAGCGCTCTGCATGTCAGACGTGTTCAGAGGGGGCTGAATTGGGAATATGTCTTGTGTTCTTGTGCCATACAGACTTGGGAAGGAGTTGGTTTAGAGCTGTGGACAACGTGTTCTGGAATATACCTACCCTCTTCCCGGAAATACGACAGGAAAAGGGGAGTCCCGGAAGACTCTTAGAAATTGTCGCCACGTCCTGTGAAAATGGCCTTCAGAGTTTTGATTTGTGTCCCTGGTCCCCGTTTCCCTGATAAAGCTCTAATTCCACGTCTGTTTCTAAAGGACAAGAAGTACTGGCCCTGGCTCTCCCTGACCAGGGGCCCCTCTGCTCTGCTCTCCCAGGGCGTGGAAGGCCCGGCCACTGCTGGACTTTGCCTGGAAACCTCACAGCACCTCCGCCGCCATCCTGGTCCTCACTCACACCACATGCTGGGACCAGCCCCATTCCTGGACCCCCAGGGACTCCGCAGCAGGACTGTCCGCTTGGGCCTGTGTTTGTGACCCTGTAACTCCCTCTCCTGTGGCACACCTCCGAGTCCAGAGTCACTATGCTGACTTGGGCAGGAGGGTCCTCCCACCCCTGGAGCTGTCTTCCTGGGAAGGGAGGCCAACTAGTGTGCCCCCAAGGCCTCCGGAGCGCCCGGAGAGAGGCCATCAGTGTCAGAAGCCTCTCAGAGGGGCCGGCCCTGCATGACCCTCACCTGGGGCCGAACCTCCCTCATCCTGCAGCTCAGTGGGCAAGGGCATCTCAGAGAGTGAAGCTGGCCCCCATCAGTAAAGAGTCGTTTGCCCCTCCCCCACCGTCACTCTGTCTTTCAACCTGGTCCAAAGTCAGGTGGCTAAGAGAGGCGCTAACTACAAACATGCCCTGCAGTCAGAAGCAGTGGGCAGTGTGAACCCCGTGACCTCCCCAAAGGGCACTTAGAAAACCCAGATCTGACCTGTGACCTTAACCGTGTGAAGAGCCGTGCTGGGGCCACTGAACCTCTCTGTTTCTTACCTGGCAGAGAAGACCGCAGCCGCCCCAGGCTCTCAGGCAGTCCCCCAGGAGGAGCCCCTGGGAGCTCCTAGGTGCCTGCCAGGGTTGCAGGGCCGCCTGGCGAGTGAGGAACACCTGGGACCCAGCGCCCACAGGCTGACTTCCAGGGCAGGAGCCGTGTAGGTGCCTCGTGCAGAAGCCCCTGCACGCCTCCCGGAAGTCACACTTAATTCTGATACAGGATCTACACAAAGGAACGTGCTTCTGAGGGAAATACAACCGCTGCCAGGCATTTCTCTGAAACAAACCACATTTTCTTTATTGTTCAATAACCATCCACCAGGCCGTAGACAACAGAAGGCCCAGACCCTGGGTGTACAACACACAGAACAGGTGCCTCCGCTCAGAGTGAGCCCACACGTGCCCCTTGTTGTCTAACGGAAACTGTCTCATGGCCAGGAAATATTATTGTTTTACATTTAATTTGAAGGAGCCTTAGGGAGTCGATGGGAAGCTTCAGACTTCTGACCACCCTCCTCATCCCTGCATGGCAAACTCAGGGCGCATCCAGAACTCCCCACAGGCCCCTCCGGCCCTGGCCCAGCTGGAATGTGGGGGCTGCAGGGGACAAGGGTCAGGAAGCTCTGATCTGTGAAAAGAACTCCCAGCGAGGTGTGTGTGGGGGGTGCGGGAGATCTTTAGCTCCCTCCCCCAAACCTGGGTCTCTAACCCTCTAAACTGCTATGGGCTCCAAAGACCCTCAGTGCCCCTATAGGGAGCTCATCCCAGGATGTCTGGCACCACCACCCCCCGCCCCGGGTGTGTGCTATACTCCTCCTGTCACGTTCCTAAAAGTGGCGACTGAGAGTGGGAACCCTAGCAAATGTGGGGGTGTGCGTTGTGCAGGACACAGGCAGACAGCATGACGGAGCCCCTAAACTGAACATCAGGCGGGAGAGCCTTGCCTGCAGCCCGGAAACTGTCCCGGTCACACCACCAGGTACACCATCTTCTTCTCGTTGATGTTCCTGGTCTTCAGCCCCAGGTAGTGGCTGCTGCGCCTCTCCGGCTTCCCATAGAGCATGTCCACGAAGAGCTCCCGCTGCTCTTGGGCCTTGGGTTGGCAGCACAGGAAGCCAAACACCGTCCTGAGCTTGCCGCACAGGTAGGCGATGGCTTCCGCTTCGCCCGAAGGTTCCTCGTACACGGGCTGCCTCAGGGCCTTGTAGGCAGAGAGGATCACAGCCGCAAACAAGTGGATCAATACGCAGATCAGCAGCAGCACAAACGCCGCGAGGAGCAGGACCCCGAGGGCCCTGTTGCTGGAAAACTCCGCGTTCCGGAGGGCTGCCGTGCAGTAGGAGAAGACTGTCTGCGTGGCGCGGATCAAGGTGCTGTAGCCCCACTCGTGCTGACCGAACACCAGGTGGCCAAAAGCCACGAACAGAAAGAAATACACGAACACCAGGAGCGCCACGTGGCAGATGCCAGGCAGGGCGGTCTGGAGGACCCTCTCAGCCAGGCGCACGTGGTAAAAGAACCTGAAATACCTGAGGGTCTTCAGAATGGTCAGAAACAGCAGGAGGCCCAAAACGATCCCCAGGGTGCGGTCCACTTGTGCAACGGCGTGAAAGGGAATGAAATCCACGGGGTTCGATGAGTAGAACTGAATGATGCCAGTGGCCAAGAAGTATTTCCTGAGAAACAGCACAATCAGCACGGCAAGGGTGCACTTGAGTGCCAAGTTGAACAAGTTGTTCGGATTGGCCAGGTAGGAGGCCCCATTCTGCGTGATGACGTAGCCCTCGTACACGACGTAG